ATTATTAAAATAATTGTAAATTATTATGTATGATGTATGTAAATCAAAAGATAGTATACTATCGGATACAAGTTTATACAGGTGTATATTAAAATAGACAGGTGGAGATAATACGGTTAAATGGAGTATATCTACACAGTATATTGAATTTTGAGAAAATTTTTATATAACAGAAAGATAGTTATTTGAGTATGTTTTATGAAAATACTGGCCTCTACTAAAAACGCAGATCTAACATCAAATTAACATATTCAGCAATACAATTTTAATTCCTGAATAAATGAAATTAATACAAATGCACACTACATCTGTATTTTGTTAAACATCCTAAACCTAATTTAAAGTTAATGCGTACTAGAAGAATTTTAAAATAATGATCTTTCTTTGTGTAAATTAAATTTAATAAGCAATGTCTTAAAACTGATTTTTAAATTTAATCTAATAATTTATTAAATACTAAAAATTATTAGTATTACATATATATACATAAACATATATATAATCTACATCTGATTTATTTTAATCAATAACAATATCTAAACTTATTTCCCTTTTTAGTATCTGTTGTACTTTCTAATATTTTTTAAGTATGAGAAAATTTTAAACACTATGTAAAATGTAAAAATAATATTGAAAAAGGAAGAGGAAAAATTCAAAATTGAAATTATACATAAATGAAAACGGGGACGGGAATATGCTTACATAACAAAATATTTTATATACACGAAATTTCCAGTATACGAGTACATACATATTTTATTCATATGTACATATATACGTTACATGTGTACAAATGTTACATGTGTAACATGGATTTTGTTCTTATTCTTTTGTTAAATTAAAATTCTCAACAAAAACTATAAAGAATTGCAAACAAAAAACTTGATAGTAAATATTTTTTTTTTTTTTGTATATGTGTATTAAATTTTGTATCCTTATTTCAAAAATACCATAATTTTTCATCACAGTTATTTTCCACAATTGGTTAAGTTAAATTTCAATAAAAGTAAACGATAACATTTATTGAGTACATAAAATTGGTTCCTCTGTATTTGTTGATAATTCCAATACAATAACAGTTTTAAAACGACTGAAACAAATTGAAATTATTATAGTAAATTACTTAGATACATGATTGTACTTCCCAGTTATATACTTAAAAAAAAAAATTAAATTTATAATAACCAATTTTTATTATTGTTACATAGTTAACTGTTCTCTTTCTTGTATATATATGTACAATGAATGTGCATAATATGTACATTATACACAATACATGTAATGAATATCCTATGATGATAATGAACTGACAAAATTTTATACGTTTTGCAAATTATCATTTTTATATTTTAATTGTTTTTTTATTATGTACATGCAATCACCGACAGTAAAATCATCAGTTCTATACAATAGCAAACTAACAAAACAATCAACATAATTATTACTATGTATGTAACAGTATATGTTGTATATGTAAATAAAAAAACATGCAGGTGCATAATAACAAATCAATACACAGACACATAAGTAGATACAAAAAAAATATCTAGAATATAAAATAAAAATTTTTGAGTATGGTCAAGGATAACAAGAATTTTTTCCTTTTTTTTTTTTTGTTTTATCAGACATATGTACCTATTTCCACATAGTCTAATATTTAAGTATATAAGTATTACATATATAATATATAAATGTATATAACCGACCGTATACAATATAGACAGAAAGAAAAAGTCATACAAAGCAACATTGTATGTACGTATGTACATATATTACAACTCTATGTACACGTACATAAAGCTGAGCTGAAATGGGAATATATAAAAAGCACGACGGCGATAAAAAAAAATACATAAAGTGCAAAAAATTCATGGGAGAATTTCGTGTTCTTTTTCTTTAATTTGTAAATTTGAACTTGTCTTGTATATGAATTTACACTAATTTTTTTTTTTTTATTTAACTTTTATACATTTATTGTACATAATATAGTGTGGGGGTTGATTTTGAATTTATACTTTCATAACTATATAGAAAGAGGAATAGCTATATCTATCTAAATTTTATACATGTGTGTTGTATAATTTAGCATGAAACCATTTAATAAGATACAGAACAGCAGACAAGTATATTATGATTATATGTGCGAAAAAATATATTTATTTTCATATGTTTACATATGTACATACATATGTAAATTACAAGAAAAATGAGGGTAAATTTTGTAAAGAAAGGGTAAATCGCAAATAAAATTACTTAAAAATTTTAATAAAAAATCGAAAATGAAAAGATCTTTGATTTTAATTTTTTTTCAATAACTTTTGTAAATTTTAATTACCTATATCTTGTGCATTAAATAATTTTAAATAGCGCTTTTAAAAATATTTAGACCCATAAAAACTGCACTAATTTAAGTTTGAAAGCTGATGTATTTTTTTACATATATTTTATATTCAATTATATTAAAAAAAAACTTAACCCCTTTTAGGTGACTTGAAAACTATTCTTAAAATTTAATTTTACTTAAATTATAACAATTGAAGAGGTAAATAACATTTTGACGAAAATCGAGTTGGTCAGACAGAACATCATTAAATTTCATATATTTTCAATTGTGATTACTCTTATAGCTAGAAACCTAATAGAAGACGAAATTGACCGTACATATAGGAGTTAAGTAACAAAAAAATTAATATTTTTACAATTTGTTAAGGAAAAACAAGTGTCAGAATGCAAATGTAAGTTAACCCTTTGGCCTACTTACCGCTTCAATTGTTAAAGTAGTTTATTTACGTATAAACGCTCAAATATAATTTATTATGCAAAAACAAATTTGAATTTTTATAAGCAGAAAAAATTACTTTAAAGCTTACTTGCTTTAAGAATTTTTTAAGAATATTAAATAATTTATAAAAATGCCCCCATTTTCCGATATTTTAATTTATAATCATTTATAAAATAAATGATTTAGAAAATATTCTTAAATAAGGCTGGGATTTGAAAAAAAAATAAAAAATAAAAAAATATCGTAATAGTCTAGGCCCTAGAAGTTAAACAAAAAATAAAGTCTCAATCGCATCATGTACAAATTTGAATTCTTCTTCTTCAAATATTTCTTCAACTCGATATCTTAGTTTTTAACTTGGGTATCAAATCCTTAATCCGTCCTTTACAAATTTTAAAAAATCAATGAAATTTGTCAACATTTAGAACAGAATCACCTAATTTTCCATACCTTTAATCGCATTTCAAATTAAAAGAATGTATGTATATTGTATACAAAAATGTATTACTCTAAAATTCAATTATACTATATTTGCGCTCATACCTTCAATCTTACGACCTTAATAATAAAAAGCTAAAATTATTTATTTAAAAATTATCTTTTATGCACATATCCTGTTTTGAACATGTTTAGAATCTAATTATTTAAAAGTTAAGCAAAACTACCAATAAAGAATATTTGCTGACTTTATTCAAAAAAGAAATAAATATGCATTATTATTTCCTTGTAAGGAAACTATAAAAAAAATCCTCATTCGTAAAAATAATATTAATAATAAACACTTTTTATTATAATTTTCCTTTTTGTCTGAGCAATGAACCATTTATTTTTAAAAAATATTTTTATTCATTTTGCACCCTTTTCTCCATCCTTTCCATATTTTCTCGTACAAAAATATTAATATATGTATATTCTTCACCTTACATTCTTTATTTCTGTTTTTCCTCATTTTTTATTATTTCTTTCAAGTTGAATTATTTAAAAATTTATACGACTGCCGCTTAGAACAAAGGAAATAAAAATTTGCAATGAATAAAAGTCGAGGTCATCTTTGTATGCATTTCGTTTCTTTTTCTTATTTTTATGAGATTAAAATTACAACTAAAAGTAAGCATTAATGATGTCTAGTCTACATTTCAGCTTTATTAAACAATTTTTATTGTTATACTTTTTTATTTTTATTTATTTTTCACTTTTTCTTGCTTTAGCTATTAGGATTTAGTGCATCTTTATTTTTATAAATTAAAAGATTTGCAGTCATTGTATAGAGCAATAATATGAAAAAATGAAAGTTAAGCATGAAAAATATATTTTCATAAATTTTTCTTATTAAGTTTTAAGCTTTGAAAAATACATATATTCTAATTGTAAAACAAAATTAATTTATTCGTAGTTTTTTATTAAAGTAATGATTTTGTTTTAAGAATTACTTATTTAGATTTATAATCCTTTTCTAAATAAACATTTGAAAAGTATTATTAAATTAATACTAATTTAATATTAAATTTTATTAATTTGATCAAATTAATAAAATAACAAAGTTCTGATTATTTTGGTTGAAAACCAGTTACTATTAAAAATTTTAAATAATTCATTTCAAACAATCAATTCTTCGATTTGAATAAACTATCAATGATTAAAGATTTAGTTAATCATTTTTAAATTAAAAAATTATTGTTCATTTTATATTTTTAAAACAGAACAAGAGAAACTTTAACTGGGACAAACATATCCAAATAACTGTTTCAACTAATTAAATTTCGAAATAATCGACAAATGAGCAGAAAATGTTACAATTTATAAATTTGATTGTGTTAATCAAATTCCCGAATTTGATTTAATTATGTTAATCATTCTCCCTATTCTAGCATATTTCTAACATATCTAATTTTCCAATTTTTTAAATCAAAATATTCACATTATATAGTTTAAAAGTTTGAAAATTAACTTTTAAAAGTATAATTGAATCATTAAAGAATTACATTCCTTAAAATATTGTAATTCTGCCTTAATAATAAATGAAGAAAAATAATTAAATAGAAACAATTACCATACTTCTCCCCAGCCTAACAATTTTTATGTCGCAAAACGGATTATAGAAAAATAGTTAAAATAATGAATTATGATTTTGAATAACGCGAGTCTATTCAAATAAATTTTACAGCAAGTAGAACCCCCTTTCTGACTTGTATTAAAAACATAAATCAAATTAACTCACCTTGCTAAAATATCCCACTGTATGACAACCTAAAATAATAAAAATAAATTTTAGTTTTGCAATCAATTTCATTGATTATTGGTTTTGTTTTAATTTTAGTTTCTAAATGTAATTACATATTTAATTAGTATATTTAGAATTAAATTAAACAATTTAACAAACAGATTTACAATTTAATAGTTGAAAAAAAAAAACATTTTAAACTTACCAGCATGATCGAACAAAGTCATTACATAAAATAAGAATGGTTCGACATCGTAATAAAGTGTTTTATGATCTAAGAAAAATTTTGCTAATAAACATAAATGTTGGCAATATTGTTTATGTCGTTTTCCATCCACTTGCCACACTTGTAATTTTCCTTTTCGATAAATTTCATCGCCAGGAGGATGACGCCATACACATTTTACTGCATGTCTTTTCATACCAATTTCAGATTTTTGATATCGAAGACAAAATTCACAAATATACATTTTAGGTATCCTAGCCACATCTTCTGGATATGGAGATTGATACCAGACTTTCATTTGATATTTACCCATCGAAATATATCTACAAAACAAAAACTAACTTAAAGAATTTTGAAAGTATATTATATTATCAAGCTAACTTGATTCCTTTTCCGACTGGTAAATCCTTTAGTTCTTTTTCAATTTTTTCACTGAAAATAATCATTTATACATACATTTGTAAGGTTAACACAATTTCATTTAGTTTACCTTGCCATTGCTTGTGCTTCACGAAATATACTAAGGTCATATTCAGGAACAAGTCCAATCAAATTTGGTTCTCTAGATGTATCCATTGGTATTTTCGGTTTTGTCTTTTCATTAACACTATTGGGAGTTCTGGCACCATGTTGTGGTGTTAACGGTGGCTTAAAGCGAGATCGATTTTCTCTTATTCTTTGCAAATAAATCCTTTGTTCTGGTGTGGAAAATTTAATTTTTTGTGTTTCATATTGTATTATCAACTTTTTATCATCATCTTCTCGATCCTTCCGTTCATTGGCTCTGTCTTTGCATTCTGCTACTGACATATTATGATATATTGGGCATGCTTCCGGTAAAAAATGCCTGTTAGCAATCCCACTCAAATGACCTGTTGAGTCACATCCCTCAATCGGACAACGTTGTACTTCTGGCGCTGGAGAAAATGCATGAACGAAATTATTTGGAGCTGGTTTCGTTTCGAAATTTCTTTTAGCTTTAGTTTTCGATTTTGTGGGGCAGGGATTTGAAGCTGCAAGAAAATAATTAAGCCATATTTAAGTAAAATTATAACACAAAAACAGAAATCATTACCTTCAGATTCGCTATCCGTTTGGGCTTTTCCGATCAAGTGCTTTGATTTTCTAGTACTAGAAGATCGAGTAAGCTTACGTACTGGCTGTTTCGTTGGTGAGGTATTATTTACTTGCTCTGCATCCGAATCAGTTATTACAACCATAGCATTTTTTGTTGCTTGATCACTTGATGAACTTGATTTTGATACATTATTTTTTGATGCTTGAGCATTATTTAAAGTTTTCTTTGAAGCCGAATTCCCTTGTGCTGAGTCTTTTTTTTCTGAATTTTTTGAGTCAGATTCATCTTCAGAATCGCTTTCATCATCTGAACGGCTAGATGTATCGCTGGACGAATCTTCTTCACTTGAACTACCTGTTTCTGAAACAGATGGTGACGATTTCGATTCACTTTTCTTAACAGGTACAGGTTTCTTAGTGGGAATTGGAGCCTTAGGTTTAGGTTTATTTTGTTGTTTAGTTTTTCCTATTAATGCAGCACTTTTATTAGCAACTGATGCTTTTTTACCTGTTTCAGAATCAGAAGAGTTATCCGGTGAAAATATACTTTTAGACTTCTCCTTTTCTACAACAGTTTTCGCTACCGCAATAGGTTTGAGTACTGCTTGTTTGTTATTATTCACTTTTGTCAAATTTTGCTGTTGTTGTTGTTTAACAACAGATGGTGGAGCTTTTCCGCCACCTACTGTAGGTGTGGGCACTGGAGGTGGAAACGGTTTTTTTAAATCTTGTATAGAACCCACACTTTTTTTTCTTTCAGCTGTGTTTGATTTCAACAATGATGATACAGAAGCTGCAACAGCCAATTTTTTAACAGGGTTGATTTCTTCATCACTTGAATAAACACTACTCTTTGAATTACGTTGAGCTCGCCCGCTCTGCGTTTTAGTAGATTTGATATTATTGCTTGCATTATTTTGGTTATTAATTAATGGTTCTTTTTGTATTTTGTCTTCGGGTATGACTATCCTATTTACTTTTGTCTCAGAACTTCTCCTCCTAGCAGCAGCTGAAGTTGGCTTTTGATCTTTTTGTGCGGAAGGCGGACTAGATTTTTCATCCGAACTGGATGTATCCGAACAAGATGTTGAACTTCCCGAATCATCAGATCCACTAGAACTACCACTAGAGCTACCACTAGAAGAAGTAGAGCCCTCTGAACTGGATTCTTCTGTGCTAGTACTCTAAAAAAAAATACATAGATAAACATAAACTCATTTTATATATACATCCTGTGTATATGCTACATGCATTAAGAACTAGCACAATTCAAAAGTTTATGTAAACAAATAATAGAATATTAATTGCAGATTAACAAATCAAACATCGTGCACATGTGAATGTAAGTTTAAACAGAAAAAGTTATAGTTCTCAAAATTCAAAGAGATATTTATGTTGATATTAATAAAAGCTTTTACTGGTATGCAACAGATTTATTTGAATTGACATATTGAAAATATGCGCACTAAAGCAATAATTAAAGTAGTAAAAATCGATAGCTCTCAAAAGTTTGGTCAAAAGTAAATTTTTTTTTAAACAAAATATTCTAAAATATTATTAATATTTTTAAATTTAAAATGCGGCTCCTAAATACAAAATTAATTTCAAAATTCAGTTTTAACAACATAAAAAATTTTATAAATCCTTATTTTGGACACCAAAACACAAATAAGTTAATTGAAATTCACGGCAAAGTAAGTTTAATATTAAGTTTTTAAACATTTTGCAATAATATTCTATTCATTTGTTTTTACTTACTTTTTTTCTTGAAGACATTTTCAAAATATTAAATTTATCCAAAAAAAATCTCTACAAATCGCACAAACAAAAATTTTTATTTATACTCTAGCAAAATTCTAAATGTTGGATGTTTCTTTCCTCATTTTTTCTCTTTCACTTTCAACCAATATGACATTTCTGTAAATGTTTTGATTTATTAGAAAATTTAAGTCATTTGCAGAATCTTATTTGACAGCTTCACGAAAACTTAAACATTTATAAAGTAGAATCTCCGTGTATATTAATTTCAAATGTCAGTCATATACAAAGAACATTTTTTATTTTTTATTCTTCATTTAAATTATTTAATTAAAAATAATTAGATATTCTATTGTTTCAACAAGATTCTAAATCTTAATCAAAACAAGTTCTTAGAAAACACAAATGCGCAATAGCCCAATTAAGATTACCAGCTTTACAAAAGATTACACTTGAAAACGAATTCTATTAATTGTACTACAAAACAAAAAATGTTTTGTTTAAGCATACTCTACACAAAATTCCGAAGTGATTTTTCTCAAACATATTGGTAAAATTTAAAAATTGGCCTATATTTCACTTGTCTCTATTCTTCTTAAGTTTTTTTTTTAAATATCACTCAAAATATCAAAGTAAACAAACGCATTTTTTACGAAAACTTACATAAATTTTCGAAAATGTACGTAAATTTTTCATAAACAAACATACCTATTTAAAACACATTAATATTGTATAAGTTAAAAAAAATTAATAGGAAAAATTTTAATTTCTGTAATTCATCAAAACAATCCAAAATACATACCTCTTCCATACTTCTTACTTATTTTTTCCTCATCATAAAATAAAATTTATTTTTGTGAAAAATTTCTTTTGGCGGATAAAAGTCTTGGAGAATCTAAAAATGTCAACTCAGTTATTTTTCAATTTCAGATGGAAAATGTTTTTTGTATTGCAGTCTGTTTTTAACTACGAAATTACTGTTATATAATTTTTTAGCATATTTTTTATATTTTTTCTTTAAAAATAAAAATGAATAGGTACACTAATGTCGTGAACATCTACTCCTTTTGAAACGAAATGTTACTGGAAAACGATTTGAAAATGCAACACTTCTTCGTGTACAATGTAAATTTGACAAGTATTTTTTAAATTTGACATTTGGATTTAATTAAACAAATTGTTTTTGCTTTTGTTTACATTGTTTTTTTTTGTTCTAGTAAGTAGGTAGTTTAATATAAATTACAAACGTTTTATTTTTATTCATTCCATAACAAAGCTTGCCATTAATTAAATTAGTGATAAAAATAATTTAAGCATGTACTTAAAATATTCCAATTTTATTTTGTTTGTAATTTACTTGAATTTTGGATTCGTTTGTAGTAATTCAAAAGTAAGTAAAGAACTAAAAAGCACGTAATAAAATAAAGCTGATAATTTTTATTGTTTACGTGTTCCTTTTTATATATTTTAGATCAATATTCAAAATCAATCTCTAAAAATTTCGGAAACAGTTTTAACGAAAATAAGCAATCTTTCAAATACGGAACACTTTATGAAAACATTGGACAGCATATTGATACCAAGAGTGCCAGGTTCTGACAATCACAAAATAGTAAGGTAAATCAAAATCAAAAGGTAAACAATTTACAAAATATAATATCTATCGTATTGATATTTCGCATTAAGTATTAATGCCTGCCACGTAATTTATTTTACTTAACTACCTACCTAGGTTTCATATTAAGCTTCTTAATGAAATAATTATTAAACAGAATTAATTTAAATTAATTTAAAATAAAATATTAATGTTAAAATTTAAAAAAATATCTTTAAATATCTTTTAATTAATGCTTTAGTTTTTTATAAAAAAACAAATTTTGCTTTTTGAACTTTGGATAAAACTGAATAATTAGCCGTTTCTTATTTTATAATGCTATAATTTATAACGCATGGTTAAAGGTTTTAATTTATAATTTAGTCAACATATGCAATTATTGTTTTGAAGGAATTTTGGGTATCGTGGACCAGTCGGTTAAAGTAGACCACATTCGTTCAACCAAATTAAACGTTCAAAGGTTCTGATTTCTCTCTTTAATTCAGTTTAATTACAAATTTCGGAGTAATAAGTAACTTTTGAGAAAATAAAAAAAAATTTATATGTATTTCCACATTTTCGTGTTCCTTTTTTTTTCAAAAAATTAAGTTTGACGGTAATGTGGACTACTAGCGGTTCCAGTATTTTGAAGTTCATATTACCCAAAATGGTAGTGTATCACGCTAATATTATTTAATATTTTAGGAAAATGCCAAAGAAGACAAGAACTTCGATTTTTCGAAATTATAAGAAGCAACAACAGCTGTTAAAAAAGGACAAATGAGGTTTATGCTAGATTCAAAAATGTTTGCTCTTCCATGTACAAAACATAATGGTTGAACCAAAAAAAAAATAGATGCTTCTTGCAAATTTCTTAAGTAAAATAATAACTATCCCCTTTTTATTGTGGTGTTTCAACCAGGTCCTAAAAACCCGTATTTACTCTCGAAATAGAAAAACAATTTGTTGAATACATCCAGGAGATGGAGTCAGGATATTTTGAAATAATGCGGCGAGATTATTATATTAAATTTTTTTAAATATAATAATTATTATATTATATTACGACGAGATTATAATATTATTATAAAAATAGACAAGTAGTTCAAATTACTCGAACATTACCCTTCCACATTACCCTTCCAAAATCAAAAGTAGCCATTTTGGACTTCATACACTTATTCTCTCATAACTTCTTACACAATTAGAAAAACCATGTTTGGACTGTGAAAGGTTAAAGTTGCTGAAGATAAACGGCAAGATATAAAGGGTGGTTCACAATACCAGAAGTTCCTCTATTATCACTATTTTATCAAAGGAATTTTCCAATTTTTGTTTAATTGGCATATTCATAATTATATAAATATAATTGCACAGTAGAATATTGTAATTTTGTAGTAATTTATTGAAAGTATGCTTTTCTTAATTAAATATAATTTTATTTTGAATATAAAAACGTTTTTCAGAAAATAAATAAAAATGAAAAACTTTTTTCCTCCAAATACCATTTTTGGAATTTAATTATTATTTATTATTGTGTAGGTTAAACACTTCTTTTTAGGAAATATTTTTAAAACTCTCAATGAAAAATTTAATAGATGTACATACATATGAAACCTATCAATATTCCTTTGTTTACTTTTCAGAGATTTTATTATTAAATCTATGGAATCTCTACACTGGCAGGTTGATCGCGATACGTTTGAAGATATTACACCACACGGAAAAATACGTTTTGAAAATATCATTGCTACGCAAAATCCATCTGCAGAGCGTTTTCTAATTTTAGCATGCCATTACGATTCAAAATTTTTTCCAGATGATGAATTTGTTGGTGCTACGGACTCAGCTGTGCCGTGTTCTATGATGATTAATCTTGCTCAAATAATGAATGACTATTTAAAGCTTCAAAATAAAACTAAAAATGGAAATAAACTAGGACTTATGTTTATTTTCTTTGATGGAGAAGAAGCATTTGTTGAGTGGGGCCCAAAAGATTCAATTTATGGTGCAAGGCATTTAGCAACTAAATGGGAGTCTGAAAATTTTTTGAAAAAAATTGACATGCTTATGTTATTGGATTTGTTAGGTGCTCCTGATGCAAAATTTTATTCTTTTTTCAAAAGTACAGAAAATGCATACATTAAACTGATTCAGATTGAAGAAAAACTTACCTATCATGGTGCCTTAGATAAACATATTAGTAGTGGCGTAATAAGCAAATATAAAAATTCATATTTCCAAGAAAAATCGGCTACATCATACATAGAAGATGATCATATTCCCTTTTTACGTCGTGAAGTCCCAATATTACACATGATACCGGTAATTTTTAAATTCAATTGTTTATTAAATTATATACTAAGATTAGAATATTCTCCAAACTTGTAGATTCCATTTCCAGACACTTGGCATACGCCTGAAGATAATAAGAAAAACATTGATTTTGTAACAGTAGAAAATTTGAACAAAATATTAAGAGCTTTTGTTGCAGAATATCTGGAGCTTCCAATCAATGATGGGGAATAATTTTATTTAGTGAAAGTATCTTAGCCAATTTATATTTTAAAAATGTTTGTGATATTTGTTTTTAAAAATTGTGCATATATGGTTTTAAGGTTTAATTTTGTTTTAAATAAAAATTTTACTTTTTAAATTTTATTTCAAAATGTTATATTATGTAATTGTAAGCTCTTAATACAAATTGTACTCTTAATGCAAATTCTACACTCCTTAATGCATAATTATGACGCTTTTTTCTATAATTTACGATTTTCTTTTGAAACTTAAGTTTAATGCGGCATTTAAAAAAGGCCTTTAAAAATATTTTTTAACTAATTAACTTAAAAAAAAAAGATGCGACCTTTGCACGTGCATCTTTTGTGATAGATTTTTGGAACATGCTACTTTCGAAGATTTCGTAATTTGGATTTATCGAACATACCTCAAATTCCTGCAAACCTTATTTTAAACCACAATGAAATTAACATAGTTAAATAAATCATCAGTTTGGAATTGGAGATTTTGGAAAAAGTAGACTTGTATGCGACATGTTACTTTGGCATAGGAAAAATTGAATCGTTTGTACTTCTTTGCACCTATATAAATCCTTTTTAAACTCTTATTACGAATAGTTTTCTGTTTTAAAATAAAAATTGATTAAAAGGAAAACAGCAATATTTTTTTCTTAAACCGAAGTTTATTTAATCTTAATCTAATATTTTTTATAGTTTCCACGAGTACAAGATCTTAGTGTACATGGTTTACATTGTATCTTGGTGATAGGCTAACGAAATGTATACGATATAATAGAGTGCTTTTGTTTAATATTTTAATGTTACTTATATTCTAAATTATTTTTTTTTATTTTAATTTTATTTTAACTTACAACTTAGAAATACTAAGACTTATTTTTTCTTTGTTTTTAAATTTTAATTAATAGGTGTGGATAATTTGATTTGGTTTTTTTATTTTAATGATTTTGCAGTTATATAATTCAAAATACTTTTTAAGATCTTTTAAAGTAATTTTTTCATATTTATTGTTTATTCAAAGAATTTCTTACATGCTAAATATTTAATCTTCATTTTTGAAAACACAAATTTATTTTAATTTTTTTTTTCTTTTTTTTTTTTTATTTATTCCTTTCTTTTGGAATGCTTACATTCTACCCACTACCAAAATGTCTAACATCTACAAATTTTAGTATTATAATTGTAGTTACGTATACCAGATTGTTTTAAGATAATACGTGTACTTGAAGATTACAATAATAATATGTTGATTAATTTTAATATTTTGAATGTGTACACTAAGAAATTAATGAATATTATTTTATTAAAATTTTATAATAGTTTTCTTAAAACCGTCTGGGTGATCGTGATCTGAAGCGGTCTCCCCCACCACCACCGGAGCGATAACCTCCACCACCACCGCCGCCACCATCACGTTGACCTCCTCCAGCACCACCTTGCCTTCTAAAACCTCCTCCACCACCTGAACGGAATCCTCCACCGCCTCCGTCACTGGATCTATAGCCTCCGCCACCTCCACCATTATTTGACCTAAATCCCCCACCACCTCCTCGACCACCTCCAAACCGATTATTACGATTTCCTCCACCAAAACCTCGGCCACCGCCACCACCGCCACCGTTACCAAACCTTCTACCACCTCCACCACCACTTCCTTGTCTTTTTGGTTTTCTTGTTGATATTTCAACTTTTAGTTCTGCGCCAAGAAAGTCTTTACCATTCAAAATATCGCCTTAAATAATAATACAACATTAAATTTATTTTACGAGTTACATAAAATTTTAATTACTTACATGCTTTTTCAGCATCGTCACGATTCTCGAATTCTACAAAAGCAAAGCCTGGCGGGTTGAAAGCGACCCACTGGGAATAGATGATTTTTTTTTTTAAATAGTCAAAATAATTATTGTAATTAATTATATAATAAAAAAAACTTACAACACTGTTAACTTTTCCATGCTTGGTGAATTCGTCTTGTAAATCTTCCTTCTTAATTTGATCGTTGAGATTACCAACGTAAACCCTCGTTCCTTGTCGATCACTCATTTTAGGACTGGTTTGTATTTGTGCGTCTAAAAATATTTAAACAGTTTTTAAATGAAATATAGAAAAAAAAATCAAATTAAACTATGATCGGATATTTTGTGATATTAAACTGCCTATCTAAAAAAAATTCTTTGAATTATTTAATTTAGCTTCGAAACCAAGAGATACAATAGACACTAAACTAAATTATTGAGCGAAATAGAAATTGAGGTAGATACTCTGAGCTAAGTGTAAGTGCAAATAAGTAAAACCAAAAGAAAATTCTACTTAAAGATAAAATCTTGAAGGCAAATGAAACTGTTGAAAGAGTTAACAAATAACCACTTTTTCCTTAAGTGCCTCAATACCCTAAAAGAAATTCCATGTTATAGCATTAAAAACAAAAATTCTTAATCAAATTCAATGCTTACTATTTAATATTTTAACATGCAAAATGATAAAATTTCTTCAAAATGATTGAAGTATTTTTTGAGATAATTTTGAGACTTTAAAAATACATGTTTTCACAACTATAAAATTAAATATTTATGATCAATATTTATGACTAATATCTAGCTTTAACATTTTTTCAAATATAACCACATAACAAAATGTTAAGCAAAAAATGGAATTTTTCATTTCAAAATTTATCCAAAAAATCCATGTACATACATATTACATATTCTTGTATGTATGTTGATAATACCTAAATTTATTATGTATGCATGTATGCACATATATATATTATTTCAGGCGTCCATATTAATTAAATGTAATGCCGCATACCGCCAAATCGGTTAATGATTCACCTTTTATTCATGCTAAGCATGTACATATGTATGTATATAAGAAGATAGGTTTCTATGTACCTATATATGAGAAAGCATGCATGAATGAATGTAATTTACAAAATAATAACAACTATTACCTGTTGATTGTTTTGTAAATTTTAATTATTTAAATTATCAACAAGTTTACATATTTTACACTAAAATATTTTCACTTTTTTTTTAATAATTAATGGAAAAACTTTAACAGGATTTACAAAGAAAAAAGGCGACAACATAACCATTAATTCATGAATTCATATTTTAAGAAAAAAGGAAAACATGTGCTTTTTCTATTTTAAATTTTTAATTAAATTTAAGTTTCTGCTTTAACACAATTGAAATATTCTATCACTAGTTTACTTCCAAAATTATTTGTGTATAAATTATTCTAATTAAACATATTTGCTCTGCATTTTTTACCTTTAATAAATTTTCACTAGATTATGTTGGGTATATAATAAAATTTCAAATATTTTCGTGGAAACATCAATTGAAATATAAAAAAAATAAATTTGAATTTAAATTACATTGAACTTCTTAAGTAATAGATAGGCAAGTATGTAGGCACTTACAATTAAAACTTAAAACACACAAAATTCATTTGGTAAGCAAAGAAAATATTAACCAAGCGAAAATAATTTTTTTTTTTGTGAAATTTGAAAAAATAAAATTTTATTACACCATGTGTTTATTTAGCATTATATAAAATCTATTTTTAAAATTTTATATTTTGAGAGCACCAGCAGCATAATGCGGGCTGATAATTTTTTCTTTTTAATGATTTTTAAAAACAGCAGAAAGGAAAGAAACTATTTATTGTTAGGTAAGAGCTTACTTGCTCATCTAACATTAAAAGTTAAAATTTATCAAAGTGCTACCGTGTTACTTTTAACCCTCGATTTATTTTTAATACCTAGGTGCTAAAATCGTGATTTTAGTTTGTTTATTTATTTTGATTATTTTTCTTACAGTTTAGTTTTTGTTTTTTTTTATAAATTTTATCAAATTTGTCATTCTAATACAAAATTTCTTAAAAATAATTTGCTCAGCCTTGAATTTTAAAAATTTTAGAAAAAAAACCTAAGATTAGCTAAAGAAGGAAGAAAAAAGGCAGTTAGTGATTTGGAAATGTAGGCGTTTCCTTTGCTATAAGACCTAGATCAACCATGTACCACCATCATTATTGTCATTGTTACACATTTATTCTTTATGATTAATACCCATGTATCATACTTTCATCATTGTTGTATTAATGATGTATAAAGTAATAGTATGATGAATACCAACGTTCTGAATTCAAAGACATATGGATATTGCGCTAGAGCGAAATTTTGATTTTGGGAATTTTTTATACTTTTTTATTTTTTCATTTATTTCATTTTATACTCTATCTTTTTTATGTCATTCATATTCAAAGAAATGAAGTCAAATTGTCATAGCAATAAAATTATTGATCCAATAAAATAAAAAATGGCGGAAGCCACTTATTACATACATGAACAAGAAAACCAGGGGATACGAAAAAGATGCGTAAATTTATAATACCATTTTAATAATCAATGAATTTTCAAGTAGATATGAACACATATCTAATTTTTTGAACGCTTCGTTACAATCAATTTTAAATAGTTGGAAAGTATAAAAATACAATTCTACGCAGAAAATAATTTTTTTTAAAGCAGAGGTCAATGAATTTATAAAAACGCTTTGCTAAAAAGAAATATGTAACCAATTTTAATATCCGAAAAATAAAAACGTGCAAAATTAAAAATATACAAAAAATTCTTACTTACATTATCAAAATAAACCAGGCGGTTACCTCAAAATACAGGCGGCGAAGATATTATGAAAGAATTTCTTTAAATATTTTCAATATATTCACCAAATTCAATTTTAATCACTTTTTATAAACAAACAAATTAACTTTTACCTATCAAAAAAAATAAAATTCCAAATTAAAAATTCAAAGCAAAGCACAGCTTCCCCTTTGAAGGAAAGAAGCTGAGTGCTGTTGTAATTGGATATTTGCGCCTTTCCAAATACCGATTTTATACCAAGTTTCATACAACAAAAAAAAGAGCGTCGCGTCACTTTAAATTAAATTGAATTACCGGCTGTCACATTTGACGTTCAACTATGTTTACATGTATTTAATAAAGATTGCATTAACGCTTCAAATGTCAAGAGTAACTAAAAAATTTATAATCTTCTTTTTATAATTTTGTAAAGTTTTGAAAAATTTTAAAACTCATTGTATTTGCATTTTTAATAATTTTGTAGAATTTGTATTGCTAAAATAATATTATTTTTGTTAGAAAATTTTTTTTCTAACTTTTAAGTAAATTTACCAATTTTCCAAATTTCAAAAAAAACACTTCTTCATATTTATTTTCTTTTAAAACTTACAGCTCAATCTTTTATTGAAGCCATATAATTATTATATTATATGAAATGTATTATTAATATTAAACGACTAGGTTATAATAATATAATAGGTTCGCTTAATATAACCTTGTAGCAACCTATTGTGTTCCCACAATATAGTTTACACAAGAAAATCCTCCATACACTTTCAAATAGAAATAGAAACAAAAATTCCACTTTACAAACCATTCTAAAATCATGAAGTTTTTTAAATACAAATGTTTGATTTGACAATTATGACAAAAATGTTTAGAAAAATTATTCTTAAGATGAAAGAGCGTCATCTGTCGGTAATTTTTGTATATAAAACTATTGAATTTGATTTTGAAACAGTGCTGTCGTTTTAGAATATCGTGTTGAGTTCTTAACATTTTCACAATTTCAACCCAACTTGAAATTTCAATAATGAATGTTTTACTGCAGGAAATTTGTTTTCGTCATATACGAGTATTTAGAAATAAATATTGTTATTATATAAACAAATTATTATATAAATAAATTATTATATAAATAAAATTTATAACGATTGTTTACTAAAAAAAAAATGATAAATAATATTTAACAAGTCTTATTATTTGCTCGCCTGTTAACATGATGAAAAATTAAAAATAATTAACAACTATGAAATTTAAAATTATGATTAATAACTAAAAATGCTATAACTTTTCTTAAACAATTATTTATTATATTCATCTTTAATTTGAATTGCACAAAAATTTGGAATTGAAATTCTAAATCAATATTGTAACAAGAAATTTGAACCGGAAAATATCTTTTCTTATCTAAAAATAAAACGGAAAGTTCTCAGTAAAAAGCTGTATTTACACGACGATTTTTATATTAATAGCTGACATACAATTCATTTCCATTTCCAATCAGCTTTATTGGTAAGGGAAATGTCGTCGTGTTAACAGGCATAGTAGAAGCAAATTGCACTATTGCAGTGGAAAATGTGAATTGGATTTGTAGCAAAAATATGAAACTGCAGAAAAAACGAAATTACTATTTTGAGAAAAATTTTGTTAGACAGAATCAATGTTGCCAAATAGATTAACCCAAATATCATCAATTTTTTAAAATAAAAAATTTATTTTAAAGATTCGGTAAAAAAATTTTCCCGAACCCTTCGAGATCTTCAATTGAAAAATGTATCGCGCCAAAATTTCACAATTTCAGAGACCAAAAAGAAAAACTAATGAAATGCGCAATGACATATGATACGGCGAAAAGCCGTATGAGCATTTAGAGTGCGCCAAGTCGATTAATATAGAGTTAATTCCAGCGTAGAATATCAAAAATAGCGTTCCCATGCGTTGCCTATTATGTTGACTTTTTCTTCAAACTATTTTTTGTGAACTTTGGAATATATAGGAAAAAGGATACAATTCCGAAAAAATAGCATTAAAAAATCTTAATTTTGAATACGAAAAATTTAAAATTTTAAAAATCTTATTAGTTTTGCACAAATAATATGACCAAAACACCTTCATTTTTAAGCTAAATTTTCACTTTTGGAAGCACTGTATTGAATACATCTTTGAAATTTTAACTGTCAATTACGTTTTACAGTTGGTCTTGTGTTCAGATTTTGTATTTGTAGAAATTTTTGTCGTTTAAAATGTTTTCAAAAATTTTAAAGTAATTTATTACAAATATTTTATAAAAAAATAGAAAATAACTTATTCATACTAAAATTTTGAGGAATGTCCAGCTCCTTAGCAAAAAATAGAAACGATTATGAACTGGACATAAACAGAACATAAAAAGGGAAATATCGGGTGATGAAAATGCATACATACATATATAAGTATTACATATATATGTACATATGTAATATGAAAGTCTATGTCTATGGCTTCAAAATCTAAAAGAAAAAATATTGATTTAGGTAAGTAGGTTGTTTAAATTAATTTTCACATAATGTCAATTTGTCGGATCACCGATTATTTCCGCAACTCCTTAAAGTTACAAATTCTTTGAAAGCTTTTCCATTTGTGATATTAAGCAAGTGCATTGAGCATATGGCTGGCTTTTACAATAAACGCCGCTTTTGGTATTTTTTTCTAGGTTTTAAAACTAGCATTTTCGAATGCAATATCAGCTGTCGCAGACCAGGGACTTTACTTCAATAGCAACATTTTGCAGTGTAGTAATGCAAGAAAACGCCACTTCACGTAAAGAACGGTTAATAACAGATAATGATGTTTATCAATAAACCACGGTACTCCCGCGTTTCATCTATTTTTCACGTTTTACAATCACAATGGTATATGTACATACATATGTGGCAAAGAACTTATTAATGAATCTATAATTAGCTGTATAACCGATAACAGTTGGTAAAATATGTTTTTTTACCATATTATCGATTAAGTATTTAAGTATAAAAAATTATACTTATACTTTATACAGCCTGTATACCATACATATTATACATATTATTTATTGTATACAGTATATGTACATAATTATAGAATTTCTAATAATTCCACCTGGGGTGCATAAAATTCAATTCCTAACAAATTAACAGAAAAAAAACAAAAGGGGAGATAATTACTTCCAGCTTCCTTTTTTTACCTTCTTTTTTATGACATCATGCCTAATTTTTAATATCCGTTACTATTTCGGATGCATAGTAGGTACTACATCCAAATATTTATTACAATATTTACAACCACAAGCACGTATATACATATGTAAGTATGTATCAAAGTATTGTAAATTAAATTGTTATGATCTCTATCTAACTTAGATTTGACCGAATATATACATACATATGTAGATAAATATACTTACGTTAAAAAGGAATTCAATAAAAATTCAAAACGGAAAAGCCATTGAACCGTGATTATACTAAAAATAAAAGATTATCATAAAAACTAGGATTCCCAAACAATTAAGTGTCGATAAAAATGCATGTGTACAAATTTTATTCAATCCGAATTTATTATTACATACGTTACAAGGTATGTGTGTGCATATGTATGTAAGTATATTTATCAATGATCTACATATGCATCTACATATTATGTACATGCACATACAATCATCCTACATTTATTAATTTTTAAAGAACAGTTATATTCATATTTGTACGTACGTACAATTCTATTATTATTTAACATTTATATCTATATACGTTATTGACATTTGAATGCCTATAGGCATTTTATAGAAATTTAACCAAAAAATATCTTTTGTATAACACTTATTTATTGTATACAAACGCGTTTACAAACAGATAAATGTAGATATTATAATATATCTACATTATTTATTTTACTCATATACATATATTCATGCATACATATATGTATGTATGTATTTCAAATAGCTTTTTAACTATGAATGAAAAGTAGAATGCGGTAAACGCAACAGGCGAATAAAAACAAAACCAAAATATTTTAATCTACCAAAGAAATACAAGAGAAACAGAACAAAACAAAAATAGTAAACTTGCGTAATCATTGAAACGTGGAAATAACCCTCTTTTTTTCATTATCGTCTGGCATATAGGCATAAGAAAATAGAAAAAAGAAAAATCAACATGAAAAACAAAAATAATAAAGTTGAGATCATAGACCTTAACAGAATATTTTAATTTACCTATATAATAGAAATAATCGCCTTTTAATAATCATACACATATATAAATAACCACATGCATACATGTTTATAAGGCAATATTTATGTATGTGCATTGTGCAGGCAATATTTACTTAATACATTATACCTATTTAGGTCCGTAAGCCTTGAAATTGAATGAAGATATGAAAATTATATAGGTATTATATATAAATAAAGTCAAATGGATGGGCCTTAATAAAAAAATGTCAATTTATTTCTACTTTAATAACAATTTAATTTCTAATTATTTTCGAATTAAAATAATCGAAAGTTATACGAAAATATCTAATCATAACAAGTGTTGTAATTTATTGTTTAGGAATTTTTTACTTATCTCATATTCACACTGAGCAAATTGCATATACTTATAAGTTAGTATTTATATTTTAACATAGCTAAATTATAAAATTTCGTATAAAAATCAAATACTATTTAAATTATTGTACATATTAATTATTTAGTAGTATGAACGCAGTTATATAGATTTTATAATATATTCATGTTGATTCCATTATGATTTTTAAATAGTAGTGATATTAATAGTTTAAGTTTTACATATTGTCTTTAAAATTTTAATAAACAATTCTACTATTCTATTATGTACTCGATTTTTATGATATGAATCTGCTTTATTGTGCATAAAACATTTAAAGTCAATTTTTAAATCTTGTTTTCGAAAAATTTGTTTACTTCTCTTTTATAATATTATTCTTTTATGTACTCGTATTATTTTTCTAACCGTAACATCATGTTGTATATACTTATCTATATTTTTGTAAAACTTGTTAAATTTTTTTCTCTTTTTTAATTTTTTCTCAGCAAATATATTAAATGTATACATAATTAAAATTTTTATTATAAAATTATAAATTTGCTAAAATTCTACTTAGATTCCACATAGAAATTCATTCGTCCATTTACAAACCTTATATATGTATGTACGTATTGCGAACATGTCAACTCAACC